ACTGTAAAGTGCCGGAAACCGTTACTGGTGAGTCTTCTTAACTTGTGATGATATTAAAGAACGACCCAAGACCACATTTTTGTGGTGAACGCCGGGGCACAATAATTGTGTTTGAACACTGGTTCACTTACATTACACCTCTCAATTTCTCACGATATGATTCAAGGGAATCATCAAAGCCTTCTGTGGAATGTCAGTGGAATGTGTGTGCGGCTCACGTCAATAACGTTTCCAGTAATTTGGTCGAGTGTATTGATTTCATTGACTTGAGCGGCGCTACTGTGGGATGGTCACGTTTTTCCGAATAAATAACATAGAACTAAAATGTTCGCTTGTCTGGTGCCGAAAATATCACAAGTCATGATGAAATGGCGCCGCCGAGCTTCACATCTCGGTAGATTTTAATACTTTGTGGAACAACGGCCGCCGAGCTAAACAACCCGGTTTGATAAATGCACCAGGAGTCGGACACATTTTCAAAAGAAAAATATAAAGGCTTAATCCAAAGTAAAATTTTACCCAGGGTGTAAACTTTCAGAAAATGTTTGAAAGATGAACGCTTTGGAAGATTCATTAAAAAAAAAAACAGATCGATAGTAGACCACAGGGTCCAGAGGAGATGTGTTTGTCGTTAGAACATCAAAACCCGTCGAAAACCTCTGAAAAATCAGAAAAATGGGTTGTTTTGATCGCGTTACAGTTTCGTTACACATTCTATAGACCGCAAACCAAGAGACTGAGGGCTCGCAAGATCGGCTTACAGTAGAAAATACGGACGGGCATCATACGACTCCTGCACTCAATCGTATTAGAAGTAGTATGACCTTCAGAGCTTCGCTCTATCTGGTAGGTCCTTAAGAGATTTTCCCTTGCGATAAGGTATGAGGGGAGGTTCCTGAAAGATTTCTCTTAGTCGTTGCTGGTTTTGTATAAGGTGCCACTTCTCCATAAGTATTTTCTTCAGGCTAGGTAAAGCCGGGTATTGTGTAACAAAAGGTAGAAGTTTTTTGCGTGCGGATTTGTTTCTCTGCTGTAGGGCTGGTTTCCTGTCGGGAAATTTTACCTCAGAGAGGTACTTTCTTAAGACAGCGGCAGGGTATTCTCTTTCTAACAGGCGGTTGTGAAAATTTCTTACATTCCTCTCAAATGTGATCTGCGAGGAATTAGTCCTTAGAAGCCTGAGCGCTTCCCCTTTGATGAAGCCTTTCTTCACGCCTGGTGGGTGACACGAGTAGAAGTTCGTGTACTGGAATGTTTCTGTTGGTTTGTAATGTGTTTGCACGTCTAGGATTGATTCCTTGTCGAATCTTACTCCTTTGTACACTTTTGTGTCCAAGAACGTGATCTCTGTTTCTGACATCACAGCCGTGAATTTTATCGTAGAGTGAAAGTTATTTGCCTTTTTCACAAAACTCTCTATTTTGTCTAAACTTGTGTTCCATAGCGAAAACACATCGTCAATATACCTTTTCCAAAAAAGCGGTTTGATGCAACTCTGACTCAGTATTTGTCTTTCTATTCTGGCCATGAAGATGTTTGCAAAAGCGGCGGCCATCTTTGTCCCCATAGCTGTTCCATAGGTCTGTAGGTAGTTGCTACCGCAGAATTGAAACGAGTTTTCTGTTAATATAAGGTAGAGCATTTCTCTAAGGTACTTGGTGGGTATAGGGGCTTTGTCCCCATAAAAATCTTCGTATGCGTGACATACGCTGGTTACGCCCTCTTCGTGTGGTATGTTGGTGTAGAGACTAGTAACGTCCATAGACACTAGGGCTGTATTTTTAGGCAATTTTGTGCTCTCAATAAAATTCATGAAGTCTGTCGTATCTTTTAGATACGAGTGTTGTTTCTGTGCTATTGGCTGAATGAGTCGATCTATAAATGCAGATATTCGCTCCGTGGGGCCATCGCACCCTGATATTATAGGTCTACCGTAAGGCGTCGGTTTGTGAATCTTTGTAAGTGTGTAGAAAATAGGGATACGCGGAGGATTAGGCGTTAGGGATAGCCATTTGGCTGTCATATCGTCAATGTGACCTTCCTGCAGCAGCGACTTAATTAGCTGCGTAACTTTTCTGGTTGTGGTTTTAACCATAGGCAGGAGCCCATCAAATGGAGCCTCCATCTCCATTAATTTCTTGAGTCAACCCTTTCCCGAGTAGATTTATAAATAGAACGGCTTGTTTCCCGCGAAAAGTGTCATATTTCCGTGAGTCTCGTATGTCACCGTGAAAAAAATGAAGTTGGATGAAGTCGAACTCAGAAGCCCGTCCTTCGACCGTTTTCCTTTTTTACTATACGTCCATTTTTACAGTTTTACAGCCGCTGGGATCTGGAATGAAATAAAAGTTAATGAATTACCCGACTGAGACTGAGCATGAAGCGATGGGACAAAGGCAGCGAACTGAGGATCACGGAAAGGTTCTTTGCGAGTGTTTGTTTTTGTTTTTGTTTTGCCGTCATACATCTCACATTTAAGCATGCACCTTGAAAAGAGTCGACGATTAAGCGTTCTGTGGACGATTTGAAACTTTTTGATGATCAGAGCCGAAAAAGAGCCAGGATCATTTGATTATTGTTATCGCCGTGGAGTGGATTTCGCCAGTTAAGCACCGCGTGCAAAAGCGATGACCTAAGTAGCAACTAAGGAGGAATGCTTCAGAAAAATTGCAGTCTTCCTTTATAACTGACTTGTATCACCATGAGAGCTGCCTGATAAAACTGGCACTTGAAAAGTTGAACAGAAGACAACAGTTGCTCGACCGTGAAGCTAACTCAAAAGTAATTTGCTAAAGCCGAGGAATTTGTGACATCGCGCTCTAGTCCAAAGACCCTCTTATCTCAAGAAAAACAAAATGGATTGTATCTGCGCCCAAAGAATTATGACTGACTAACAGGAGAATTCTCAGCAATTAATGTAGAAGTTTAGGCCAGTTCTTTCCTTCGAATTCGCATCTGTAGATCACTTTTTTGCGAGAAAACAATGGCTGGGCTCGGCGTTACAAAACATAGCAGGGAATCATCACACTAACTGACGGACAAAACAACCACAGTATTTATTCAGACAAACGCGTTTCGGAGAAAAACTTAAACACTAGAAATTTTATTAATATTGAGTCATTTAGCCGAAATAAGAACCTTAACGCTAAAAAAAATTGGCTTAAACGAATCCTGTCAGAACTACAGACTGCAGGTAGTAGTTAATCATTACGCAAGTAACAGAACAGCTTCATGGCCTCTTATAAATGTGAGACAAGCAACCAAAATTAAGATTAACATAGTCAGGGTTTAAAACTCTCCACAGTATAATCTACCCGCTAGAAAGAAAAGAAAGAAAATCTCTGAGGGATGAAAACGCTGAAGTCACGTTTCACTAGCTTATGATTTTCTTTGGCCTGTCAGCACCGGATTTCCTGCTGTTTCATGAAGTACAATAGCAGTGTCATTTAGTCGTTGTGATTGGCTCTTCCCACCGTCGGCGCGCGAAGTCTCCCCTGGGAACCGTTCTAATTATAAATCTACTCGGGAAAGGGTTGACTCCAAGGGCTTGTATGGGAGATGGAGGCTCCATTTGATGGGCTCCTGCCATAGGTTGAGTGAGGGGTTGATCGGGGGGGCACTTGGGTATTTTTTGGGTGGGTATGTGCCACCCGGGACTCCAAATTGGTACCCCGTTCTAAAAAAAATTCCCCCTAAAATTGATACCCCGTTGTAGAATTCGCCCTAAAACTGATACCCCGTTCTAGAAATGGGCCAATTTTTTATACTCCGTTCTAGAAGGTTTGTAAATTGAAATAGCCCTGTTTTTTTTATAAAGATATTTCTTTATTTGTTCGACTTATGCATCAAATAAACGCTTCTTCATAATCAGCAACAATTTTAAGCAGAAGATAAAGCCGTGATCCACAATTTTTTATACCCCGTTGTAGAAAACGCCTCTGAAATGGATACCCCGTTCTAAACCAGGAGCTTCAAAATCACGACCCCGTTGGGCGGCACATACCCGTATAGGTAATGTATGGGAGTACCCACCCCCCCGGGCTGACCTCCCTCTTAAACTCTTCATCGGCTGCAATATTGGCCCGCGCATTGTATCTAAGGGCCCTCGGGCAAGTGCCATCGTCGACGTGGACCTGTAATTTCTTTAACGCTTCCGCCGAGCTCTCGATTTTCCTTTAATGGATTTGATCTCTTTGTCCTCTCTATGGGATGGCGTTCCTCGGCACGCCTCGGTCGCCCTTCGGGCGACCTGCCGTGCGCCAGCGTGAATATGGCTTGCGGTTATTGATTTGCGTTTACAGTAGAATCATAAAGATCCCATTGGGCTAATTAATTGTCCTAAGCGACAGGTATAGACATTTTTTAAGGTGAGACTTTAAATAAGTAATTCATTTATTCACACGAAACTCCTCTGGACCCTGTGAGTAGACCTTCAGCAAGCTCTTAAATATGTACGCTTTACGAAGATTCAGCACACTTCTAAAAGACTAACGCTTTTATTCAGCAAACACACATCGATAGCAGACCTTCAGCAAACTCTTGAAATATGTACGCTTTACGAAGATTCAGCACACTTTTAAAAGATAAACGCTTTACGAAGACAGAATAGCAGACCTCAGCAAACGTTTGAAACATGAACGCCGATGACACACGAATCAATCACGACGTGGGTTAGCGCGTCAAAGTGAGGCATAACGTAGGCAAGCGCCTCAAAGCGAGGCAAACGTGTGTCGATACAAATGGAATCTCAAAAAAAACTCCCTTTTTAATTGGACGGGACACGCATGCACAGAGCACCCAACAGAAATTAAAGGTTGCGTTCTCGTACCTCGAACGCAATGAGTCTTGTTAACCGTGTTGTTCAATCCAGTTTTCATGACCCACAGTGAAAGGCATTCACCTACATATGAGAGCGGTTTCGCCCGCACTTTCTAGCCAACGGCTTCTGTTAGTAAAACAGTCATTTCTTTAGGTTCCTTAGGTTCCGTCGGTTCCGCAGGTCACGCAGTTCCGCGGTCTGCGGTTCGACCGATTAGTCTTACCCTTATGAATCGACTATAAAACGGTCAATATTCCTCGAACATATTCTTCGTTAGAAAAAGCATCTGAATTTTGCTGAAGCTCGTTCGCAGTAGAACACGAAACTTTACCATAAAATCGACCAGGTGAAACATACTGAACCAAACAAATTTACATTGGGAACCCCATGACTACCGGATTTATTATGTAAACATTAATTTACGTTATTAGTATGGAATTTGCGTCGCTGAGGCGCAGATGTTCCTCCTGGCGAAACGTCCCTGGCGGCGAGGAGCAAGGAGAAACGGCTGTATTCACAGGCTAACCGTCACGGGCCAGCCAGCCTAATAAATAGGAAAAGTCTGTGCTCAAATTACTTTCTAATTTCTTTACTATCTTTCATGTTAATATCATTTTATAGTGTATTGGGAACAAAAGTTACCTGATGAACCTCTGGCGATAATATATCCGTTGTCGTCGATCAGAAAGTCTGCTCGCGGAGGCCCGTGCTCATATTGACGTGACGGGGAAAGTTCATCACACCTGAGAGCTGTTATCGGCGTTTTTTCATCCCCACATCTAAAAAGGTCCCCTGGTTCCTCTATGCTCTTGTTATAGTTTAAGGCGAATTTGCTGTTTTCCTCGCGAGGATTCAGTTTTTCCATGGTGGTATTTCGTTCTCTGGGCACTTATTTCGCTCTGCTTGAATTGGTTTGCCCAATAGGCGGTATTGATGATGAACTATCAAACTGCGTGGCTTTTGTCTACAAGACAATAATACAAGCCTTAAAGACGGTGCCCACTAATGGGAAGTATTTTTTCCCAGATAATGACTATGTGTGACAAGTAGATCATATCAGGGGCTATTGAAATCCAAAAAGAAAACTGGGGGTAACCAGGTATTTTTCAGAGATAACTGCGCTTCAATATGGAGAAAAACGCTGAATAGGCGTTTTTTAGAAAAATGATAAAAAGTTATTTTTCCCAAAATTTCAAAGTGTACACGTGAACTGGCACAAATGCAATGATAATTGTAACAAGGTTTCAAAATAGGCAACAAATGATAACATAACAACCGCTCTTTATACGTCTTTTTTTGAAATATCAGTACAACTGGGAAGTTATCAGCAGTTACCCCTCTCCACGCGTTTGCCTCAAAAATAGAGTAAACAACATTTTCCCCGAACAAAAAATTGATCGTTTGCAGAGTAGGCTTATTACTTAGGCTTATCATTTGGTAAGATAAAAAGTAGGGGTTACCACGCGTTTTTAGAAGTTAAATTGGTTGGTTTCGACCTTTACTTAATCGCTTTGGGGGTTATTTACAATTTTCCCCATCCCCTCCCCGGTCAGTTTCACTATTGCTTCACTCAACGCGGAGTACTCTGGGATATCCACAGTGGTTAACAGTCAGAGAAAACAACAACACACGGAGGAGAGCAAAAACAGAAAGTGAAGCAGGGCATTTCATGGACTCTAAGGAAAACAAATTATACTATTTCATTCAACTGGAACTTCTCCGTCTCAAACATTTAACAAAAATTTTTGGAGAAGAGCAATCTCCAAGGTATTACAGATTACTTGCAGCGCACATAGAGTAGTATGGCGAGTTCAAGATCCACGGCTGGTGCTGTAAACAAACTACTGTACTGCAGTGGAAAATATTCGACAGGGACTCTAAGACAGGTACTCCTTCAATCGTTTGCTTACCTATACATGTCCTCAAGATTTTTTGAACTGTAGATGTAATATGGATTGTAAACCTTCTATCGTTTTTTTTATCATTTTACCGGGTACTTCGATCGAATATGTTATTCAACTTGCAACTTGCATACATTCAATGAGTTTATATCTGTGCTTTGCGCTATCTCTTTCGGGCTTTGCCACAAGTGCCATATGACATAAATTATTTGCACTGACTGAAGTTCCATACATGAGCTCTCTTTTAAAAAGCTGAATAGTGTGAAAGTAGTTGTACCGAATGCGTTTATGTACCCTCATATGTACACCGGGCTATAATGATCATTTTATATATTTCGTTTTGATTTTTTTTACTGCAGCATTCTGTGTCATGATCATTCACTATTTTTCGTTTCCAAATGTTAATTTTAGACTTAACAGTGTCCGTTAAACCTAAGAAAGTCTTAGAATGGAAATACTTTATTTTACCCCCGGCTTCCATCTTTCCATGTCTAAATGTCCAGATTATGTGTGGCGTGAAATTGAACCTTATGAAATACTATCTACATGACAAGCTGCCAAATGAGTCAATAATTTCAATGCTTGGTAATGCCAAAATGCTTAAATAACAATGATAATAGTAAAAAGCATAACAATTTTTTTATCATTTTTTGCCACGATGAAAGCGTTTCCTTTGCGGTCCGCGACTATTTGTGAAGCGGCGATCTCAGTAATCCAAACAATCTTGTGATAGTTTTTCTCTTGTTTGTTCGACAAATAAAAGCCTCGGACTCTCAATAAAAGGGACATCTGTATGTACTCGAACGCTTTAAATCTATCTTCTGGTGAATAATGACATAAAATCTTACAAAATTAAAGAAATATTCGGGAAAGTGTTTATAGCCGTTTAGCCGATAAAACGCGAAGGACACGAGTGAAAGGTAAGTTTGCAGTTTCTCGATTAAGCGGAGGACTTAGGGCTATTTTCCTTCTGAGTTACTGATCCTTGCCTATTAAGGGATTTTTAAATACCCAAGCTCTAAGCGTAACATCTTGAAGCAATAACTTTTGATGTTTTAGAATTGACTTTTGTTTGACTATAAAATGTTCGGTCAGATCGATCATACGTAGAAATAGCAACACTCGCATACTTCTTCGGTTTTTGAAAGAACTGACAAGGTAAATAGAAATTATTTTTCATCTGTTGAAAAACGACGCATCTTTTCCACAAGAAATAAGTCGAACCTCCCCAGGGCCCCAGACTTACAGAGGACAAAATCAGTCCGCGCGTCCTGCGTGTTGCGCATTTCTTTCGCGTCGCGCGCGACTACCTTGGCATGCGCAGAAAATGTGCGCAGTAACAATATTGGGCACCGTCCTTAAGAAATCAGCTTTTGCTCTCTTTCCAAACTAATTTCTGTGATCCATTTGGTCACTGTAGTTATGGACAAAGCATATAAATCATAAATTTACTGACAACATCCTTTCACATAAGGATAAAGAATAGCGGTACTTACGGGTATAACTTTTTTCGCTGCTTTGTCCGTAAATTTCGTAACGCTTTATTTTATGCGCTTTGTCTCGCATGTTTTATAACCAACAGTGAAACGCGAGACGATAATATGAATCAAATCGCGTGACTGCACTGCCAACGGTGAAATGCATCGGGAAATTTACGGACAAAGCGCCGACACAAACATTGTGAGTTTGTATCCTAGAAATAACTTCCATTTCACTTTTCTCAGCAGCAGATCCAAGAACAGAACAGCTAAGTTTTGATCTCTCATTTAATTTTCATGTGCAGTTTACAAATAAGAGCGTGGGTTCACTATGATTTAGATAGCTTTTTCAGAGCATAAATAGGCAAATGTAGTTAGAACTTACTTCCTTTTAGTAAACAGGAGCCTGCAAGTAAATAAGACTTCACTGTTTTCTAGCCTTACTAGAACATGTAAGAATTTAGGCTCGTGGCAGTTTTGTGGGTGAATTGTAGATTCTTTAATAGCGTATTTAGCCTTTGCTATTATTTAGCTTACCTTAGCTGAGGTCAGACTTGTACCTTAGTTCTGATTATGAGCAGTTACAGATCCTTTCAGGCCAAATATCTTATTGAATTCATAAATTATTCACTGAGAAACTGTTCTCGTGTTCATTCAGCCATAAGCTTCAGTTCAGTTGTGCATTTTTTCAGTACTTTAGGCTATTGTCTGTGACCTCACAAGTCACATAGAGGCCCTACCCGTGTCGGTGTTTATAAATGCTTGTCGCTTATTGTCGGCTTTCCCGTCACTGTCGCAATTTGGCCGAGGGAGGTTGTCTCTTTTCACGATTTCATTTTACGCGCTGTCGCTACTTTTTGGGCCATGTCGCTTGTCGGAATTTACCCTGGCAGGGCCTCCACATAGCTGTCCTCAGTCAAATAGCTTAGCGCGCGAATGACGTCAAAGAAACTAATTTGCAATTTTTGTTTGACTTTTGTCAAACATAACAATGGTTGTCTTTACACTAGGCTGTTAAGTAAGACTTAAGAGCTGCTAAGTTTTACTTAAGGTCTCGGTAAATGAAAATTTTAGTACATTGCTCGATTTTGTTTTTGTTTTTATTTTTGACATGAGTGGGTCCTAAATTTTACTTTGGCAGAAAAAGAAAATCAGAAAGTGCTTTTTAACCCTTCTAAAATGAGCCTTTTCTGAGCTAACCAGCCAAGCGTGGACCTCGCGCTAAATCTTTAGAGCTGATTTTCTCTCACTCTATTCTAGACGCAAAAATCAAAATTCTCCGAGCTCGAGTCGGGACAGGTTTTAAGCTATCGCTTTGAAACTTTCAGATATGATGGATAATGATATAGACTCAAAAAGAGTGTGAGGAATTTTCCGATTTCCCTTTGTAACTCATTTTATGCCAGTTTCTTTGCGTAAATCGCGCTCGAGATTCGACTTTTTAGGTTGAAATGCAATAATTTCGCTAATACGAGACATATGCAAATTTCCTCACACCCTTTTTTAGGTCTTTTATCTGTCAATCAGATGCAATAAAAAGGAAGTGAGTATTTAACAACGCGAAAGGGCTGGAGCTTCAACAGTAAACTCGATACCTCTGAGTTCGAGAGCAAAAAACTTAAGCGCCTTTTGAAATTCGATGAAATAAAATCTTTTATAAGGTAATTTAGTCTTTTAGCTTTAATTTGATATATAACTTGCCTTTGTAGCAACAATACTCGCGCGACTAGAATTTTTTTCTGTGGGCACCTCGTTTTCCTTTACCGAGACCTTAACCAAAAATTCGTGTGTGAAGGCCTAAGTAAAATCTCAAGTAACTTTGCTTTGCATCTCATTAAAGTCGGAAAGTTGAAACGATTCAAGAAAGTTTAAAGCGACTTGAAACCATCCTTATGACCGACTTAGCTGACTTGCGGTTTTGCGGTTTCTTGAGCTTTGAGAAAGGCGAGACATGTCAATCAATCTTAATTTTGTTGCGTGGGAAAATAACCTGAAGTAAAAAAGAATCGGTTGTGTGTGAAGCTTTATTTTACTTGAAGTAATTAAAATTTACTTGTCTTGAAATGTTTCTTTATTTTGGCTCTAGTGTAAAGACTACCAATTTTTAACAAAAGTGGATTAAGTGGGTTTTCTTGTAGCTTATTGGGTCCTTATTGCTTAGTGTTAAGTTTTTTAGCGGTGACGGTAAAGGGCGGAATAAGTTTGCGAAATGGCATGTGGCATGGCTTGCGGAATGACATAATTATGCGGAATGTAAATTCTCAACATGTTCTCGAGACTGAAATTATTGCCAACGAGCCATCCGGGCGAAGACGCTCGGATGGCGAGGCGGCAGCAGAATAGAGCCGCGCAAGACTGGGTTGAGAGGCAGAAAAATGCTCGATCGAGCTGAAAAAAGTGTAACCTGGGGCGCTTTCCATTTAGGAAAAAAACTCGGAAATTTCGGTGGGAGCAAAAGTGGAATTTCCGATTGGTAAAAAGTTGTTCCATTTGGTCGTAAACCCCGGTACGTGGCGGTGCCCGACCGTGGACCTGGAACTGGTACAAACTACGAGAAACGTAAATGGAACACGACATTCCGTTCGGAAATTCCAACCGGGAAAACGGGACCACCTTTTTAGATTTTCCACTTTTTCTGGGAATTTTCCAGTGGGATGAACCGACGAAACGTGTTCCATTTACCGCCGAACCGGAAATTCCGGAAATTTTGACTAAATGGAAAGCGCCCTTGATGTAATGTAGATTCCCCTGAGACCAAGTGGTCAGTTGTCAACCAATCAAAAGGCAGTACCTGTCGCACGGGCTAAAGTTGAATGTGGTACCCTTTTTAAAATACAAAATCTCACACAATTCCCGCCGTCGCGACTTCCTGTGTTTATTTACCTAACCTGGCCACTGTAGTCAAGAAACATGAGCACTTGATATTCTGTATTAATTTTAGGGGTCATAATGTTAAGTTTTAACGAAGAGAAATTTGTAAAACAGCAAAAGTGTTCCATGTGCAACAAGCAATATTCTCACCACTATAAAAAAGGATCGGATTGCACGAGGAGATAAGGAAAGCTTGACACGAAGAATACAGTCGCTTCTGTTGCAAAATCTGGTGTTGGGGAAAACATCTAACCAGCAAACCAGAAAAAATGAGAATAAAAAGGAATTACAAGCCTAAAGCGAACGACAAACGAAAAGAAAACAAAGCATTTTATTCGAAACCTGGCCGAGTTTATAAAAAAATGAAAAAAAAAATACCGACGTGCCGTACATCGCATGTCCTAGGAAACATTTCAAATAGGGCAGCGAATCATTCTAAGTTTCAATCGGGTAACAAAAAGCCTCGGGAAATTTGAAAGGAGGTTTAAATAATTAAACTGTGCAAATATTTATCTACGATGTGAAACCGAACCGACAGTAGATTTGTAACTGGACTTAATAATATTGCCGATCGCTTCCTCTGCAAAGCTGATTTTATTCATTCAAAAAATATCCCTCATGACACTTCACACCTTTACATAGCAGGTTTGTAAAGCCACCAGACTGAATCTGAGAACTGACGATCCTCCGGAACCTCATAGTACGTGCATAACACCTTTTCAAGAAAATAATCCTTGCAACAGGAAGGGCCCAAGAAACAGTCAAATGGGGAAAAAAAGAATTTTCTTCCTAAGCAAAATACGCATGAAATGCTCGTTGGCACTCTATCGATAGGTATACCTAGTGATAATCATATAATATCAAATGGCTTGGAATATATCATAATCATAATTACATAACATGCATGTTGAATCCAACATGGCGGACGAAGAAAGCGGTAAGAAGCCGCAGAGGGCAGCACTTTATGCCCTTAGCTTGAGGCGTATATTTTTCTCTTTTACTCTAGTTGACTGGAAAATTGCCTTGATATTTATTCCCTACAATTCAATTCATGCTAGATTCTGAAAGAGAGCTGCCTTGCTCCTCGAAAGGTCATCGGAAGCGTCGGAGAGAGAAGCTTCCCTCGATGGAAGTTCTAATCAGCCAGGGAAAAGCACTGTTAGCCAAAAAAAGAAAGGAAAGGCACCTGGAGTTTAGTACAGATCCTGTCTCGGGGAACAGGAGTTCCCATATTCCTCCGCAAAAATTCAAAAGCAAAACGAAGCTAGAAATAGTCCCGAAGGGGGTGATAGTTTGAATTTTTTACCTGCAGAAGGTACGTAGATATCCTTGGTTATTCATAAACAGCATCCACTAAGACGTTTCATGAATTAGAATGATTTTACTTGAACCGTGAAACAGCTAAGCTTTATACTAACAAATAAATGTATTTATGCTCGGTGCGTTGGGAATTATGCGTGCGAATGGAGGTTACGTAATGCGTACCGCATTCAGGCGTGTTCATCACGCTTATTGTTGGGTTGTGTTTAAATAGGTTCACCACGTGTTGTGCTCTCACTTTAGGTCATTTCAGTGGCTATAATCGACCGCCTATAATCGACCGTCTCTTAATTTTTTGCTTGCTTATCATGTCTGATAAGGAAGGCGTGGAGGATCCCAAAGTTATCTCTGTTGGGTCTTTTGAAGACTTAAGGTCTTACTTTGATAAAAAAAAAAAAAAAAATTTTCACATTTAAAGCGTGAGCTTTCTGATGATCAACTCAAATCGTCTTCATCCTTGGTGAAGAAACTTAAGACCGAAACGAGCTTAAGCTTCAAGTTTAGCGGCAACAAGAAGCAGTTCGATTAATACTGAGACTTTGGAACACGTCACTCATAGTCTTTCTTTTGTCGATTCGCTGAAATCTCTGGTCGATCTTGAAAACTCTGAGAATCATCAAGTTTCAGCGCTGATTCTTAAACTCGACGATTCCCTCAACGCTGCTTCAAAGGCCATAAAGCGAAGAAGCAAGCTCATCAGAATAGCGGATAAATCGGAAGCTGGCTGGGCCGCAGTTGACGAGTACCTTTCTGACGAAGTCGCTTCCGGTTCTAAAGACGGAAAGAAGATCCGTGCTGCTGAGCAGAGAGCGTTGCGAAAGAAGAAGAACGCTCGCTCTGCGAAGTCGGGACAGAAGCTGAGTATTTTATCTGTTACTTTTATTCGTTTCCTTTGCCCGTTCTTTATTTTCTTTAGCGTTTAGGAGGTCGTATTATAGCACTGCCGACCTATTCCTCCTATACAATAAATTCATTATTGTGTTTTGTATTTGCTTGTGTGTGTTTCATTATTACCGAGTTTAGAGCATAAATAAGTTATTTTCGGTACGCAGTTTAGAAAATAAATGTATTTATGCTCGGTGCGTTGGGAATTATGCGTGCGAATGGAGGTTACGTAATGCGTACCGCATTCAGGCGTGTTCATCACGCTTATTGTTGGGTTGTGTTTAAATAGGTTCACCACGTGTTGTGCTCTCACTTTAGGTCATTTCAGTGGCTATAATCGACCGTCACTTAGTTTCCTCTTTCTTCCTTTTTTCTTTACAGGTCATTCAGCGTCCAGAGACTTCCTCGGGGTTTTCATCGGCTGTCTCCTCTATCACTCCAAGAAATTTTACTAATTTTCGTCCTCAAATGTCAAAGGGCGCCTTTGTTAAAGGCCGTTATGACATCTGCTTCGCCTGCGGCAAGACCGGCCATTTGAGAGCAAGTTGCCCCAACTTATTCTTCACTGCCGGATCAACCTACAAACAGATCCAAAGTTTGTCAAGTAAAGACAGCGGTTCTTCTGGGCAGCAGTAGTTCCATTGCTGATATTAAAGCAGTAAAAGAAACTCTTGAAGGTATTTTTGACGAAGGTCCAGCTTTAGAGGTGTGTTTTGAATTGAGAATTCTCCCAATAGTATTCTATCGGTTAAGGGTAGGCTTAAAGCTCATTTTAGTTCTTGGGCGAACGCGTAAGGTGCAAATGATTTCATTCTCCAGGTTATTGACAAGGGGTAGGCCATACCCTTTATTACATTTCCTCAGAATGCGTTTTTTGACAATAACCATTCAGCACTTATGCACGCTGATTTTGTTCTGAAGGCTATCCAAGAGCTTATTTTGTCAGGTTCAGTTGTTCAAGTATCTAGTCCTCCTCATGTTGTCAATCCCTTGTCTGTTTCCATACAGAGTTGCGGCAAGAAGAGGTTGTTTTTAGACCTCAGGCATGTCAATAAACATATTTGAAAAGAAAAGTTTAAGTTTGAGGATATTAGAAACGCTTGTGTTTATCTTCCTTCTGATCATTTCATGTGTAAATTTGATCGCAATCTGGCTACCA